AGATTTCTGCAAAAGTTTGGGGGGTGTTTTAATCAATACTGGTTGTGAAGGGGTGTGGAAAGTCTTTAGTGATTTTCCCATTGAAATTCTCCCCATATGAGGGAGAGATTGTCATATGGGTATTTGAAAGATTTTTCTTTTTTTTTTTTTTTCCCAAACTGCCTTTTATGATTTCTGTTTGAAGATCTTGTAACCATTTGTTACAGATATAAAAAGTATCACCTTGTTGTGCTTCCCTTAATAAGGTATAGATTTTGGAAATAAGTCCCGTAGGCTCCTGACCTTTTTATATTCTTAGAAAATAAAATTCCTCTGTTGTAAAGAGAGAATCGTGCAACCAAGCAGCTGCTTTTTGAATTGCCAACAATTGAGCTATGGAAGAATAATACAGAAGGGAAGACTGAATCTTGGTTCGCTATCCCTTTTTCAATTGTAGATTTTTATATTTAATTCTGTGGCAATGGCTACTCCAAGAGAATAGGCCACAAATGCTTAAGCAGATCAAAACTTTGGTGAGGAATAAGAAGTTTTTGAAATGTAAAAATAAAACATTGTGATAAAAATTCTATAGAAATGAGTAACTCAGGATAGGTTCTAAAATTCATAGCCCATTATTTTTTTTAAAAAAAATCCTGACTTCTGTTCATTTTAGTATGCCTTTTAGTACCTCCACAATTCTGACAATGAGAGCATCAGTTAAGTTCCTACATTTAGGCCTAAGAGCGTATATTGAAGAATTTGTACATGAAAATCTTGGCCAAAATCTCTTTTTATCCACTTTGGAGAAAAGCCATTTAAGGAAATCTATGTATGTATATTTTACATATGATTTACTGCATCAAACAGTGGTTTGTGTTTAAGATACGTGGAAACACTATGTGAATATTTGTAATTTTCTAAATGGAGTGGTGAAACATTGAGTTTCTACTTGATGGAAAATGTCCAAATTTTGAAATTCCTTTTTTTTCACATTATTATTAACATGTCAGCATTTTACACGTAGTAGAAACTGTGAAAAGTTGTATTTGGTAAAAATTCAGATGTTCAGAATCTTTGAGGTAAAATAATGCAGATGGTTGTCTGGACTTGGAGAAAAATCCCCTGGCTATTGTATTATCTGTTTTTAGAATTTCAGGACTATCTGCTCTGGAAACAGGTACACTAGAAACCTTGCCTCCCAAACTCGAAAATTCACGCTTTTTTTTTTAATCTATTAATCTTTTAGAAGTGACTTATCCAAGTTGTCATCTTTTGACCTCTACTGTTCTGTACAGTTTAATATACTGCCATTACTAGTAGCATTGTGTTTTCTAGCAGTACATTATGTGATGTAACCAGTTTATGCTGCGATTCATTTGCTCCCACGGCATATCCAATGAAAAATGAGTTGTAAGGGATAACATATACATGAAAAATAAACACAACAGACAGCTGTGCTTTCAGTTGCTTAAAGCACGTGAAGTTAAAGTTCATTTCCCATTTGCAGTGGGAGAAGAAGTTTGTGCTGGTCATCCATTTCTCTGAGAGTTTGTTCCAGGTTCCCTTCAGCCCACAGAAGCTCTCCTGCACCAGAGTTCTGAGGCTCTGCAGACTGGAAAGGCTTCAGATATTGCAGGAAACCACAGCATGCAAATCTTTTTCATAACTTTTATGTGCCGTGATGATGCACTCAACTTCTTCTAGCAAACTTCATTGTCTTCAGTTGCTAAAGATCTTCAGGGCCTCTTCACCCAAATTTGTACCCAAGAGAGGGGTTCTCCAACTTCCTTCTGAGAGATATAGGTTTCTTTCCCTCCCTTCCCCAGTTTCCTTAAACTTTATCTGCTAAATGCATCTGAAGGATAGGTGTCCATCTGGCTGTCCCTTAACTTAGAGTAGGAGCGATACAGTTTGTTTTCAGTTTTATGAACATTGTATCCCAAAATGTCTCTGTCCTCAAAAGAAACCAGCCTGAAGCATGGAACAGTTTTATTGGCTCCAAATGGTACAGCAAAAGGCCCAAGTCTAAGGAAATGCAGCTTTTAGTGGAGTCCTTCACACTATTGTTGATTGTTGCCTCTAATTGTCACATCCAGTGATTCAGTTATGTTGACAAATGATAAAGGAGAAAGAAGATATCTTAAACCATTAAATCCTGCAGTGTGTGCTGGTTGATCTTCAGGCTTCTGCATGTGTTTCACAGACACTTGGAAGCAATCCATGTCTTTTAGGTTTGGCGTATAGCAGATACCATGATGCATAAAAGATGTCACCTGTGTGTTTGCCAGTATTAATACCTTGAGAAGGTATTCCAGGTCTTAGCCTGTGCTCTGTTCCCTTTTAGTAGCACACTTAAAGACCGCAATCCACATAGCTAAAATCTCTTCTTGAGTAAGATTTTCTGTGGCCAGTGTGTATTTAGTTGTAGATGTCAGTAGGTCACTGTTTGGTTTTGGAGATGTATTTTTGCAAGTGTTAATTTTCGGCTTTATCTCTTGACACATACTTCCCTTCCAGCTGAATCTTTACCATAATGCTAACAACTTGAAAGATATTTCTGTGTAGGAGTACAACTACTTTTTTTTTTTTTCCTTTTTTTTCTTTTTCCCAATAGGAGCTAAACTAAAGAAAATATCACCCACTTGCTCCCATTTAAGTTTCACACCCTCTGGGTCATTCGGATAAGTACAAACTACTACTGAAATCTGAGTGTCTTTGTATCAGATTTTTTTTTCACCTGGTATTTTTTATCTCCGAATATTTGGTATCAGTTCCCTTTAACTAAGGAGTGATTTAAAAGAGTATATAGATAAATGACCCTCAAGTAAGAGAATACATTGCAAAAGAAAAACAACTGGGAAATATTCCTAAACACGATACCAGGCTGAGCAGAGGGACCTATATGGAATGTTTATGTTGATATCCTACACATATTTGCCTTCAGATACTGCCTTGTCAGTTCCCAGATCCACCGCTTTTGTTCCTCCTGGCCTTTCTCAGCTAACAAAATGCATTTCCTGATCGCTGCTATTCCCTCTCCGTCCTTTTTTCTTTTTCTGGCAAGGTGCCTGGTTACTGCGGAATCTGCATGAGGCGGGATGTCCTCTCCTGCTCTCCTGCTGGGCGGGTGGAGCAGACATAACTGATGTGATCCCTTTGGGTTTGTAATGGGACACTCGGCAACTGGCAGCCTGCAGCATCCCCTCTCCCTTGCCCGTTCCACATCATGCTGGAGATTAAAAAAGCCTTTGTCTCTTTGGACAGGACATTGTGCCTTAGTGTGCTGGATATGTTGTTGAACTCAGATGAGCTGCCATCGCGGTGGTTAACCTACACATAAGGCTTCTGAGCTGCCCTTTTTCTGCTTTTCCTACAAGTGTGTAAATTGAACCTTTTGCAACTAATAGAACAGCTTCACTGAGATCACTGGCAACTGAGTTTCATGTTACATGCACTATTTCTAACACTGCAAAATCAGGGCACACATTGCTTATTGTTATTACAACAATCTCCTGCTTCTACTGAGAGACGTATTATGATGCTATAAACCATTACATGCATTTTTATGTTTTCTTGTGAACCTTATTTAGTGAGAAATGGTATCACTCTTTAAAGTAGAATGGAATAACATTAAAGAGAAAAGCACATACTGTTCATTAAGGTAGAGAATGGAGAAAGAAATAACCTTGATCTTTTGGGTTGAGCCCAAAAGTATAATGGAAGTATATTGGCCTAAACTGGCATAGATTCCTTCTCCTTTAGTTCACAGAACAGAATGTAGTAGCATCAGTCATCCTCCACCTTAACCAGCATCTAAAACTAGATGCTCTTCTTTTTTAGATGAAAAATATCTGTTGACAAGTGCACCCATTTTCCCTTATAAATTTCACAGAAATGAGACTCCACTGTTCCTCCCTCGGGATCAAAGGAAGGTTAAGCCAGTGCTAAAGGCTAAATGGACCATCTGTCTTCTTCCTGGCTTTTGTTAACTCCTGTCCTTCCCTCTTTACTGTGAGAGCTACTAAGCTTAGGATAAACAAGGAAGACTCCCTTTTTACTACAGACCATAACCAAGATCTACTGGCAGGTTTTCATACTCCTAGCACAGAAGTTGAATAAAGATCAGACTGTTGCTTACCCTCCCTCAAAGAGAGAAGAAAGCATAAGTGATTTAAACTTAGTGTTGGTAGTAGCAAAGCTCATATTCTTACAGAAAAACCCATATGCTTTGTCAAACCTTTCCAGTCTTGTTGATATTGCCTAATCGCTCATCCTGTTTCAGAGCATTTGACTTAGCTCAAGTCTTATGAGTATAGAGATGAACCTAAATCTGGGATTTTAATAAAAAATACTTTATTTTTGCTGTTTTTATTCAGCCTTCCCTCCCTCTTGGAAACAAGGATGTGGGGAGATTTGAAGTCTCCGGTCACTTTATTTCTTGAAGCTGTTTGTTATCCTGGTAGCTAGAAGATACTCCCTTGGAACACTTCGCTCTAGATTCCTGTAGGAGAGCAGTTGATATTCCAAGTTTACTGTATAGAAGTGGTAATTGCAAAATCAGTGGTCCTGGAATGTCACCTCATTTAGGAGATTATTTTTGAAACTTCCCTGCCACCCCCACTTCTCCATAGACAACTGTTTTTACCACACAGATAAATTACCAGGCTGACCTAGAAAACGAGAAGCAATCACTTTCACAGCTCACGTCCCCAAAGGCGGATTAACTTGGCTGTCTTTTAAAGACCCAGGAGAAGAGACCAGGTCCTGAGCTATTATAAATCATCACATTCCAATCAAGTCAAAAGAACTATGTCCAGAAACTGGTCCAGTGTTTCTACTATAGTGATTGTTTCTTAGAATTGTAACACTTCTTGGCCACGAAAGTCGACTTCCAGCAAACATACTGTACATTTTATCCTGTGACACGAGACAGTTAAAATTTTGTAATTTCTGATGTTGGTCTCTTACAAAAGGAGTTAGAAACCTTTGGACCAATTCCTTTCTCTCCCTTCTTGTATCAGGCGAAACCCACTCCACTTCCACCTCATTGCAGATGCAATTGCCAAACAGATCCTGGCGACCCTGTTCCAGACATGGATGGTCCCTGCTGTGCGCATAGACTTCTACGATGCAGATGAACTCAAGGTAAAGAAGGACAAAACATATGTTACTCATGCATTTCTGGTTTCATGTTGCCCCTTTTTATTCATCTGTCTGGATTCGGGTGGAGAGCACTACGTTCTCCCTGTTTAAAAATAATTCTAACCCACATGATTATGTCCTCAGTTAAATGTAACTGAAAGATATTGGTTTTCTAAGATCAGTGCAGTTTCTCTGTTAATGAAATATATTGTTTAGCAGCTTAGAATTTTGCCTGCTGTCAAGATGAGTCTGGTTGCCCAGTTTATATTGCATTTGCTCTCATTATGTTTTACTAGGGACGCTTCTTTCTAGTAACAGTGATGGAATCTTAAGTATCTTGGTCAATAAACCTAAAGCTGCTACTGGAAACAGCCTCTTTGCCTTCCTTAAGCATGGGCACGTACTACCACTATAAGTACTCACACACACTGAAGAGGTATTCAGTCTTGAATTTAGAAATGGCTACCTGCTTTATCTGGATGCCCTTTCTAAAGGAATGACTGGGAAGAAAGAAAAGTTCCATGGGAAGAAAATACTCAAAGCATAAAGTAATTATCTTTTCATAGAGTTGAAAACTTTAAATTAGATCACAGGGACGTAGCACTGCATTTTAAAACTGAACATTTTTTTGCTGTGAAGGTAGTGAAGTATTCAAATTTTAGCATTTGGAGTTGGTGGCAATAGTTTATATAGCATAAATATGAACATCCCAAACCAGAGAAAAACAAAATTTAGCAAATTGCTGTGCTAATTGAGGTAAATTCAGAGTACACCACTTGGTATAATCTTGAGTACAAAATGTTGTAGAAAGAGATGATAAAGGGGAAAAAATGATCCTTGAGAAAAATATTCCTATCTATTTTTATTGTTCTACCGATCCTCCTACATGAAGCAATAAGCAGCTATTAACCTAATTAAGTAGTTATTTTCCTTTGCTTCTTTATATCTTTAAAGCAAGAAGGAGGTTTGTTCTTGTAAGTCTTGTACATGTCTATATTAGATGAGTCTTTTTGTAAATTGTAAGATTTTCACAGTGCCTAATTAGCCTCTCAGTTGGGCAGTGCAGACCTCTTACTGTCTTCCTTCTGGTCACTTGGGTACGGAACAATCTACTTAAGTAAATAATAACCAGGAGACCTTACTGCTAAGACCTCAGTGATCCCCAGCTTGCTGCTTTAAAGGCAGCAGTATTGTGCAGACAAAATGCTGTAGAAAAGGTTATGTTTTGCCCTCCCTCTTGACTCAGCTTGACACCTCTAACTCAGCAGGGTCACCTTGCATGTAATCCAGAGGCTTTAGGTTGGGAACCACTCTCTTTCTGGATATAGATATTGATGTGTAAATACATCTTTCCAGATCTACCACTCTTCCTAGAGTTCATCATACTACATACCAAGCAATTCCCCTGAATTCCCCTGAAGCAATTTCAGTGGCCAAAAAAACTGCATATAAAATAGTACTCAGCATAGGTGAATGCAACAGAACAAGGCTAAATTACATCAGGGAGTTATAAAAATACGTAGAGTTTTAAAAAGCTATCTGACTCATAACCAGATCATTCTGCAAATTTTAGTGAAGAGCACAGAGGAGTTGTTTACAAGCAGCTGTAGGAACTTGCCTTTTGTCTACTGAATACCCTCTAGAGAGGTCTTTGTGGTTGTTTTGCCCTTTTTTTTTTCAGTTGTACTCTTGGGAGCAGTATTAGGCTGTCCATTATTAAGAAAACAGATCTGATACTGGAAAGTCTTACCAGAAATTCTACTTTTCACAAAAGTAATTTATGAATCCAATGTTACAGTATATACCATGTTCAATTTTAATGACCCTTTATAGACCCTTTTCTAATTTTGTTGTTCAGTTTGTGACTGAAATTTAAAAAGATTTAATCTGAACAGGTGTTTGGGGATTTTCTGCCTAGCTTTCATTCACATTTGGAACACATTTTAGAAGTGGAATACATTTTGGAAAACATTTCATGTTTGTCTCTCTCCCTTTGTGTAAGTATGGGCTTCCAGCCCCTCTCTTCCTAATGCAGCAGGAGCTGGCATGTTAGCTTAAGCCCTTAAGACCTGGGAAAAATCCTGCTCCTACTCTGCCAGTGGACAGGAACACATGATGTTAGATCCTCCATAAATAATGTGAACAACTTGCTTGTTTTTAAAAATTCGGGCAATATTTCCCACTAGATTACTAACTTTTAAAAAGGCAGCATTTGGAGAGTAAAGTGTTTGACAATATTCCTTTGTTCAGTTCCAGTGTTAGAGTAATCAGCATCCTAAAAATAAGCGTCTTTGGTAGGTGACATCTTGCAGGAAATAAGAATGGAAGACCTTCGTTACAGGAAGGGGAAGACAATACTGAACATTATGCCAGATTTTCTACTCCCAGCAAACCAGCATATCTATTTTCAGTATGCTGATCAGAATTAAGCACATTAGAAGTTTGTTTTTTTAAGTTTAGAGAAGACTGATCTTTTCTTTTGTGAGGTGTCACAGCTGTTGATGATCATCCTGCATCACTTATAGGCCTGTGTTCATTTTGTCCCTCAAGGTGAATGCTGCCAAGTGAATACTAGCTCCTTTCGAAGAGGCATGGAATAAGAAGGGGGTAGGACCAAGGAAATGTGTATTTTATTTGGGGAACAGGATAGGAGATGAGGAGGAAGAAAAGAACTGTCTGTGGAGCTGAGCCAAGGCATCAGTGTTTCCAAGAGAAAGGTCTGCCATGATTGGCACGGTAGTTTCTGGCTGCATTTCTTTTAAACAGGCAGTTTGGTGATCATAGCAGCCAGTTCTACTAAGATGTTTGTAGCCACCTCCAACATAACCTGGCTTCTCTCCTCGTTGCCTTGCCACTAACCGCAAAGGAGATCTATGCTTAAAAGCAAAACTATTCTAGAAGCATATAACAGTAAATAGCAAAAGCCACTATATTAATGCATTGGCCAGTAGTGTTAAATTCAGTGGGAGAGTAAATTTTATCATGGCAGTTGATACTCTGTTTGCAAAGTAGGTTAAGCAGTGTACCTAAAACCATACCAGCAAAACACTGGTCTAGAAAAGCCATTACAGCTGTGATTTGTAAGTATCAAGCTGCAGGGTATCATGGTTTTCAGTTCAGCCTTAATGTGAAGAGCACATGAAGATATGGACCACTTTAGCCTTTAGTGCTTCAGCACTTCATTGCTAGATGTGGAAGCACATGTGGGTTTGCTCATAAGGACGTACAGACATCATTAAACCCAATGTGATCAACACTAGCCCAGAGCAGAAGTCGCAGCTGATAAAGCAGTATTGAATATGTAATGTGTGGAATACAGATGAGGCATGTTTGTTTTCTCAGGTGTTGCCTGACAGGCTGCTGACAACATCAAGTGAACTGAGAGAAGGAAGAGTTGTCTTCCCTGCTGTGTGTAAATGCTGATTGCCCAGATAAATGTAGTTTTGTCACCACTAGTGAAGTAGAAAAGCCATGTCCCTTAAATGCTTCAGCCCTCAAGAATGTTGCAATTGGTCTGTGAACCGGAAGGTAGAAATGGTGAATGGTTTTTTGCAATAAATGAGCATCTGACCTGAAAGTCAGAAAGTCAGTACTTCTGCGCTAATGGAAACTATTCCATCTTTTTTCATTCCCCAAACTAATAGACTAATTCTCACAACTAGTGCTGCTGTATATGGGTTTCATACGAGAAATGTCCATATAGTCTATACACTCACTCAGAATCAGTGGTGTGATCCAGAGGGCAAAACTAATCTGGGATAAAGTGTGGAATCAGTATCATCTAACTTTAGGTGTTTACTTTAGGATGAGATGAATCACTCCTTTGGAAGTTCCTATTTTTTTCTTTTCAAGCTGTGAAAGCACTTCACTAAGTCAGACATTGGCATCATTTGGTCAGACAGGTATGTGGCAAGGGCTGTGAAAATTAAGTATGAAAATCAAGTTTGTTCTTCAGTCATCCCTGTAGTGTATCTGGGCCTCAGGGTGGTGCTTACTGTGTGTGCACCCCCTTGGCACATACATTGCTGATTCCCTGGCTGATTCAGGAACTCAAAGGCTGGACATCTGCACAGGTGAGCTAATGGACTTGATACAGTGGGTCAAATTGAAACCAGGTGGTTGATTGACTGGCAAGCCACCTGCGCACTTGCCTGCTTGTTACAGGAGCTCTCCCAATGGGAATTTCAGACACTTCTAGAGGTTTCCTCAGGCAGCTCTTCGGTGCCTAGACCGATTTGTATACATAAATGTTTTGATTAACATCTCTAGTGGAGAATTCGGTTGTTCCAGAGATTCCCAGAGAGTCCCTGTTGCAAAATAATCGATTCTTCATAGGTAAGAGCTATTACACTACAAGTGTAAATAGTCATAGTAAATAGTCACTGGAAACTCCTACTATGGATGTAGGACAGTCTTATGTGCATATTTACCATGGTCAAGAGATCATTTTTTTGTAGTGCAGGATAATATATATTGATGTATCATTCATGTACTTGGGGCAGGATCACAAGCCAGCTTGTAAGGACTGGGCAGAACAACATTTCAGGCGGTCTCACCAAACCCAGTTAAGATGCCTCTGCAAGAACTGATGCAAAGAAGACTCCCATCAGCATCGAGACCGTTTGTGCTGTTTAAGGGATTGGATTGACATCACAAGAGTTACTGTAAGCCAAAATCCCAACAATAGTTTTTTTTCTTAATAAACACTCTGTTCATGAGTGTCTGTGCAACAGATGGCAGTAAGAACAAATACAGCAGCAATTGTATTTTTTTTGTTACCAGTGGAAGCTTTCCCAGCATTGATAGCATTGGGGGGGCTGTAACTTTCATACATGGCCACAAACCAGTTTTGGAAACATATTTGATCAAGAGAACAAATACAGCAGCCATTCTTTCATACATGGCCACGAACCAGTTTTGGAAACATATTTGATCAATTCCTTCCAACAGAATTGCAGAAAACTCTATACTGAACATGGGAAGGAGGAGTTGATTGAGAAGAA